AGAGGTAGGCAGGACATTTTGATTTTTGAAGTCATTTGGATGCCAGTGGAATGCGACTCTAAAAAAGCTTGACTTTTAGCTTAAAAAGTCTTCCTTGTCCTATCCCTAAGCCAGGGAGAAGGAAGAGTCATGGCTAATCACAGGTTCTTGGCTCAGTAGATGGGAGTTCCTCCTTGAGATGGGGAACTTGTTGAAAGGAGCAGGTGTCAGGGTGAGACTGGGTGGAGGAATTTGTTCTCCTTCTGGACATAGATGGTGAAATACTTCCTGGTCTCCAGAGAGTCATTCTTTGTATTATGGAGCTAGGCCTTTCTGGCAATCTTTCTGTTGCTCCAGACATGCTCTTAAAGGAGAAGACAGAGGGTGGTTCAGAAATTCAGAAGCAGGAGTCAATCATAGATGAAATAAAGAGTGTGTGTGTGTATGTGTAAATACCATTAGGAGCAGGTTGGGATTACAAAGACAATAGATTTTCTTCTGCACTTCATAACAGTTGCACATTAATTAGCGCACATAAAAATGCATAAAGACTCCCCCTTCAAGTCTCAACCACTCTCCTAATTTAGTAATTGTCCTTCTCTTTTCTGGTTGCACCCCAAACCCCTAATTCTTGTTGTGTAAGGTTGGACTCGTTTTACCTGAAAGAACTGGCTGGCCTCCCTCCTGCCAGTTCAGGGGAACTTCCCTTTATGCCTGGGTCAGAGTTGTGGGGGAGGGAGCAGCTGTTGAGGAGCCAGGATGGGGGGAGAGATTGGCTTAGTCTGGTCTTAGGGAGTGTCCTTGTCTGTATCTATCTGGGTCCCTCTTTCTGTCTCTTTCCTCTCACAGATTGTGTGGCATTTTGGAGGGTGGAGTGCCTGGGCACCCAGCCCACTACATCCCGCCCCAATCTGGCCCTGGGCATGAGCCACATGGTGCTGGCCATCAGCCTGGCCTCTTGCCCATCCATTATAGCCTCAGCTGCCAGACTGGCACAGGTATCAAAAGGAACTACTACTCGGCCCTGCCCTCCCCCAATTCTGCTGCTGGGGCCAAAGTGAAGGAAAATCAGATGGAGAGGGAGCACCCTGCATGGGAAACCAATGTCAACCCCACCCTCCATAGTGGGAAGGGTCATCTGGACCTTGGGGTGGACGCTAGGCTGCAGTCCATGGAGGACTCCCTTAGTGTAGGGATGGGCTGGAGCAGTGTTGGGAGGAGACAGCACTGGTTGCTTGGGTGTGAAGGAAGACGCCCTACTAGGTCCTGTGAGATGGTCCCCTTCTTTCTGTGTCTGTGCAAATCATGTGAGCTGGTTGTGGGTTTATGCTCTGGTGGGACTGTACACAGGGCTGTGATGCTGTGGGGAGGGGCTTTTAGCTCTGCCCAGGCAGCACAGATGTGAACCTGCCGTGAATACTGCATGTCAGGCTGTATGAATCTGTTGCATGCGGGAATACATCTGTGAGAGTGCTGTTAGGGTACAGGAGAAGCACATGTGTGACAGAGGCATGGGGCCTTTAAGACCCCTGGCATGGACCAACTGTATTTGCGCTATGGGGCACTGAGTATCACATCCTTGGACCCTGGTTGTGGAACCCATGCGCCCTCTTTCCTGAGCATAACAGCTTGGCCTGGCTGTAGACCGCTTCTGGTCATGGGCAGTAATGGATGGTCCTGGTGGGAGGTATGTCTCTGGAGCGTGCTGGTTATGCCTTGTCTTTCCACCTATGTGAACCATGTGTTCAAATATGTGAATCCCCTCGAGAAATGTTGGGTGGTGAAGGGGTGGGAAGCCTGAAAAAGATGGGAGAATTTATGAGCTGCTTTTGTCGGGAGACAGTCGTAATGAAGAAAATTCAATTTTCTGCAGCTCGAAGAGTCAATATGTTAAATCTTGGAGAAGCTGTGGAGTGACAGCAGAATGGCAAAGTCAATGGGACGTGTGTGGGGGGACGCCGTCTATCTGTGTCTGCAGTGAGGCAGCCTCCTCTCTGTACCCTTGAACTGTAACTGGAGACAGGATGGAGTCCAATACCTGAGTTCCTGGAACTGCCCCTCTCTCCCATCCTCCTCTGCCTCAGTGGCCATCGTGTCCTGCCTCTGGGAAAGCTGCTCTCTCCCAGATCCAAGTCTACCCTAGCGCCTTCTCAGGAAGTCCTTCTTATAGTCTAACCACCACTCCCTCTTGCTGTAGTTACTAATTTCACAGTGGCTGTTTATAGCCCAAAGTGATTAGTAGGAAAATTTTCTTTTCCTCCCAACTTTTCATCCCCACTCTCCCTTCAGCTACTCCATGGCTGGCCTCCTGTTTTCCAGAAAGTTTCAACTTTTTTCTAGCCAGTCTTTACCTCCTCCTTTCCAGCTTCCTGTACTAGGAGGCAGGAGCACGGCAGGGGGTAGGGGGGTGGGGGGTGGAGGGGGTGGAGGGGTGGGGGGAGGAGCTGGTGGGGAGTGGAGAGAAAAGCTGGGGATTCCTCTGTGAGCCACAGTGTCACCAGGAGCTGTGATTAGCTGAGCTGCTGGCTGTGTAATTAGTGTGTGCCCGCGTCTCGGGGGTCTGGTGTGTTAACAGCAGGTCCCTGTGGTGGGTAACGAGATCGTGCCCATGGCTGGTTGCACACGCTAATTAATTAGTGCTCCTCTGGTGTTGAGGAATGAGGAGGATCTGGGGGAGCTGATGGTGGGGGTGTCTCAAAGCCCAAGAGCCCAGCTGTTCAGAGTCCAGAGGTCACCTAAGGTTCTGCCACAATAGGGGCATCAGACTGGTGTGCAGGGTTTGGGTCACAGACTTGGGAGCCCTGGCTGAAGAGAGAGTGTGTGGGGTACAGTGGCCTGGGCTCTCAGTGGTGGGTGTCCTGGAGTCCTGGGCTGGGCTGGCAGAGGTGGATGGAGGGGAGGACAGCCCCCTCAGCTTAGAGAGGTCTCCAGGCTCGGGGCCTGTCTTAGAGCATCCTTTCTCCAGGTGGCCCAGAGAGGAAGGGAGTGGAACAGGGAGGAGACATTTGAGACCCTTCCAGCCTCATTCCTGTCCCCTCTACCCTCCCTCAGGGGGCTACCCTCCTTAGTGAGGCTTAGCTCACTAAGTGCAGCTTCTCAATCAGCCATTTCACACTTATTATACGCTCACTGTGTGCACAGAGCTCCAAAAGGCCCTCTCCTTATTCTCAGCTTCATAACCACTGCCTTCTTTTCCCCTTGCTGCCCATGCAGACAGAGACTCAGACTCCTCAGCTCCTGGGTCTATCTTAAGAGCCCAGAAGTGTTTTCTGAAGCCTGGGATGTGGAACCTAGATACCTGGAAGAAATACCATGAAAAACCTCAAGAAACAGGGGGAGGGCAGAAGGTTGGGAGAGCGCCTCACAATTTCCCAGGACAGTATGGTCACTTATAGCAGCAAGAAAGACTAAGGTGAGAGGAACGGAAGAACTGCCAGGGAGCAGCCAGCTCTCCTCGTTTCCTGAGGCAGAAATCCTCCGCCCGATCCAGGAAGGGGTCAGGAGGAAAAAGGAAGGATATCCTCTCCCCTTAAGCGGTGGGATTCAGCAGGGTGTGGCGGGAGTGGGGAAGGGGAGACAGAATAGAGAAAACGGGCAGAAAAGAAGATGCGGCTGCGGCTTCCGTGTGGAGCCGCGAGTCCTATTCCTGCACACGGTAATTGCTAAATTACCCGCCATCTGCTCGGCTCTCAGACATAAATTATCTGCGAGGAGAAAAGGCGCAGAGGCTGCGCACTTTCCTTTTTCTCCCCCAATCCCAAGCTACGAGCAGCGGGGGGCTCTTCCCTGCAGCCCGAGTGAAGGCGAGGGTGGTGGGACCACCTGAGGGGGGAACAATCCCCCTTTGCCTTCTGCCTTCTCCTGAGGAGGAGTGGCTTTGGGGCGACCGAGGTCCCAGCGCTGCCCAGGGTCCTTTCAGACGTGGGGCGGGGCGAGCTGTGGGCTGGCCAGGCCTCGCGAGGCCACAGAGGAGGGGGCGGGGCGCGCCTTGGTGGGCGGGGCTTCCCTCAGGTGTGACCGAATTGCTTCGGCAGGTTTTTCCCTGGTCACCCTCTACCTCCCCCACTTCCCGCCCACTGTTTCACTTGTGGGGAGAAGTCTCTTCAGCTCTCATTTACACTTGTCCTGTCTGCCAGAAGGAAGAGAGGGAGGAGGGCAGGGTTGGGGGTTGGGGGTGAGGACTTTGGTTTTATTCGGCTCTGAACCTTTCCTTTCCCCTCTAGATTCTGAAGAGTGGCAGAGATGTGAAAGCAGATGTAGGGGCAATAAATTGAAATGGGGCAAAATGGTAGAGTGCAGCAGGTTGCAGAGATGGAGGTAATGCGAAAGCAGAGCTCCCTGGGATGTGGGGTGGTTTGGGGAGGTGGGCAAGAGAAGCAGGTGATCGGGTTGGGGAGGTGAGCGAGGAGAGGAGGGGGGCAGAGCGGGAGGTGGGCAGGATGAGAGGGTCAGAGAGCTGGAGATGGGCGGGAGGTGGAGTGATGGAGCATACGGAGGAGGATGGAGTGGTAGAGAGATAAGGGGTCGGGTGGGGAGGTGGAAGAACCAGGATGGGGCAATGCTTGATGGAAGCTCAGAGATGGTTAGGGTGGTGAGTTGTCTGGAACGAGAGCCAGAGGAGGCTCAGAGTGGGGATGACAGACAGCAGTTCAGAAAGCAGGTCAGGCTCTGGAAGGAATGTAGGGAGCAAAGGCTGTGATACAGAAAGCTAGGGTGTTTGTGGGTCCTTGGAGGGTCCCAGGAAAGTGAGGAGCAGACCTTCAGAGTCACTTCCCACTTTGAGGCTGAGGCCTGACTCTGGAGGGGCGTTGAGTAGGCCGCTTAAGAAGCTGGGGTAGGGATGCGATCCTGTTCCCTGCTCCAGCCCCAGGCACCTGCTGGGTGTGCCCATTAGGGTGGGGGTGTGTTGGGCGGCTTCCCAGTTCTGAGAGCAGAAGCTGGTGGGGTTTCTTCCGAGCGATTGTTTAGTATTCATGGGGCGACGCAATCTCTCCCACATCTGCTTAGCACAGCAAGTCCTGTCATATAACTGTCTCCCGCACTGTCTGTCCATAAAGAATGTCTCGGAATTGGTGTAATTCAGAGAAATTAATGACGACTTTCCGCGGGACTGCTCCCTGGGGGATGATTAACACTTCATCGTCCATCTGATGCGCGGGGCCCAGCGCTCCATCGCGAACATTTGGGCCGTGGCCAGCCGCATTAAAGGTTATTACGGAAAACGCGACCTGCAAACGGGCGAGAGGCATGATGGACCGGGAGGGGAGGGGACCAGGGTGGGGGCGGGGGAGTCGGATGGAGCCGGCCAAGTCCGAGATCAAGTTTCCCCGAGGTTCGCGCACCTGGGGGTCTGAGGCGGAGGGAGGCTGGGTTTCTGTTTCGAGGGATGCAGGACTGGGAGCGTGTTGGGGAGAACCTCACCAGGGGGACTGGGAAAGGAAAGGCGGTGACTTTCCACAGCGGACACGTTGCTGATGGAGGCTTTCCCTGTCTTTTAATCATCACAGAACTATTGGGTAAATTTTAGTTAACCCCACCTTACAGGTGATGAAACTGAAGCTTAGAGAGGTTATGTACTGTGTCTTAGTTAACACAGCTTATTCAGAGGCAAAGGTAGGATTTGCATTCAGGTCCTTGATTCCTGAACTCTTGGTCTTTCCACCACACCACTGGGGAGAAGGTTTCACTCTTTTATATGTCCAAGGTTTCACTCTTTTATATGTCCACGTCAGCTTCAGGCACCTAGGCATGTGTGTAGCAGACAGGTGCTCAAACATGTTTGTTGTAAAAATGAATGAATGAGCTTTGCAGGTTCCATTTCAATGGACGAGAATCCCAGAGATTCTGGAGGCAAAAGGGAACAGAGCATATGAGTTCCAGTTTGGGTCAGGAAACTGGAAATAGGTTTCCTTTGGGTTTTTAAGCTTCCCCTGGTGCATTCTAAACCTCTAGAATCTAGAAGGATGGGCTCTTCATCCTTAGAAGGAAGGAGTGGAGACACATGTATGTATGTGTATACGTGTGTTTGGTGAGTGTAGGAATATGTGTAAGTTTGTATATGTATGCTTATCTGTATATGTATGAGTTCATGAGCATGTGTCTGTGTTGCATGTGTGTGAGAATGTTTGTAATGTGTGGATGTGTGTGTATTTTGAGCGTGTCTGTGTGTATGTATGAGCGTGTGCCTTGGTGTGTGTGTATCTTCATGTATGCAGGTGAATGGGTGTATGATGTGTGTCGTGTCCCAGGGGAGCCTCACAGCCGAAGATATCTTTCGTTTGCTGAAATCTCTAACAGGTTCCAGGATGTGGTATGTGGTGGGGCTGAGGTGAGAGGCCAGGAGAGGAAGGCTGCTTCTGCTGGGGACACGGGGGGTTGGGTAGCCTGAACAGTGGGTGCCTGTGCCCCACCAGGCATGGGGGGGATGGTGTCAGGGTCCCAGGTCTGAGGCTGGGTGGAGACCCGGGCCCTGAGGTCTTCATTCTGGGCTTGAATTGGAAGTGCTTGGAGGCCCTGCTCTGACCCAGGAGGACAGTGAGGAGGTGGAGCTCAGACAGGGGCCTCAGCAATGGAGGGGTCAGGCCTATTCTCTGCACAGCTTCCCCCACCAGGTTTTAGGAGGGTCTTCCCTCCAGGCTGCAAGTCCTAGCTCTAGGCTCCACGCATTCTGCCTTAGGGTGGTAGAGACTCTGGAAGTCTTCCTGTGAAGGTCTCTGACTCTGGGGGTGGTGGTGGTCCACAACCACAGTGAGAACACCTCTCTCTAGTTAGCACTACTCGGGCAGGTCCAAAACAAATGTCCTTGTCTCTTGGAGACATACAAGCTGAGGCTTTCAGACCCCTTGTGCTGGGAAGTTCTTCCTGGATCTCACCTTCTATCCTCTTGCTATACCATGTGCCCAGTAAGCCCAGGCGGAGTGTGTGAAATTGGAACCTAGCACCCCCTGGCATGGAAGTAACTTTTTCTGGATAGGGGAGTGGGTCTGAAGTTTAGGGACACTCAGAGAATGGGAGACTGAAGCCTGGAGGATCATAGATGGGTCTGATCATTCTTGGAGAGGAAGGCAATGATCACAGGACAATATCAGAGACAAGAGTTCAGAAACCATGGGTTCCAGCTCACTTACTTTACAGACAGCAGCTAGAGCCTCAGAGGTGGGAAGACTCACTCAGCGTCCTAAACCCCTGACTCCTAGTCTAGGAATCCTTCTTGTGTCCCATTGGGGAACCCTTAACCCTGCTTCTCTTCTCTTGGTTTTATGGAGTTGGGAATAGAGGGAGGAATACTTCAGCTAATGGGGGGCTGTCCCCTTTCTTCTTGCTGAAGCCTTCCGCAACTCCTTCCCAGTCTTCCCAGCTGGGCTTTGAGGCCCCTCACCCGCCAACACCTGTTCCTTCAATTTCCCATCTCCCTCGCAGGCCCCCACCATCTGCTCTCTTAGATGCATCCAGGGGCAGCCCTCATATCATTCGGTCCTCCCTGCCCTCTCCTAGCCTCATGGTCTATGCCCAGTCTGAACCATTTCCTCTCCTCCTCTTCTTGCAGACTAGCCTCTCGACCCTTTGCAATATCATCTCATACTCACCTCCTCTGGAAAGTCTTCCTTGATTAATCCTCCTGTTTCTGGATCCCAAACGTTCTCCTTCTAAACCACTGCCAGGGTAGCTGCAAGTCTCTCCTGGTTCTTCTGTCTGCTCTTTCCAGCTGTGTACCTTGACCCTGCTCCCACTTCCAAATGGAAGATGCCTCAATGGCAGGACTGATTTCTCCTCCCTCCCAGGATTCTTCTCTATGCAGCAGGAGGGTCAGGACTGCCTTGGAGAATTGACTGAACCTTGTCCTGCTTTCTGTGCTCTGGGGATGGGAGCTAATGGTGTCCCACTGGATCTCCTCCCGAGGAGGGAGGTGGAAATGCAGACCCTTCCTGGTCTTTATTCTGGGTTAGGCCTCACCCCTTGCTCCTATTCCTCTTCCTGATCTTGGCTGCCTCTGGCCCCGTTAACAGGCCCCTCTACACCACTATCCTGGGGCCCTTGGGACGCTGGGCCTGATGTAGGGAGTGACAGGAAGCTCCACCATGGTGCCACAGGGTTGGCATCCTGCCTAGGGAGGACCGGATGGGGCGAGTGGAGATCTGGGTGGAGGAGAGGGTCCTAGCACCGATGAGGCACCGGCTCTAGTTCTAGACCCGTCGATGTGTTGGCTGCCACCTTGTGGCAGGCACTGAGAACTGCAGGGATGGAGTCCGGGTGCCAAGATTGGGACCTCCTTGGCAAGAGAGCTAGGAAGGCCGCTAGGGGTGTACACTGTGAGGGTAGCAGGCCTCAGAATTCCTAATTGACATTGGTGGCTTCTTCAGGGAGCTTTGAATTCTTAATTGACAGGGGAGAAGAAACCTGGGAGGAGAGTAGCAAGGACACTTCTAGATGGAGAGAGATAATGGAAACTCTGTCCTCAAGTCTCAAACCTACTATTCAAATTCTCCCTCCCCGAAAGAGCCCTAAAAGAGAAATAGCCTGAAACTAAAGCTGGACGGTTTGAGGTCTGACCGGCAGAAGGCTTCCCAATAAATCCCAATGTGTATTTAGATGTCACTGCTTCTGATAGTTGCACAGTCTTTCCAAAGCCACTGCTGCCCGCCATACCCAGGAAATTGCCCATCTTCTCTGGGTTCCATGACTTCATCATGCTCAGTTCATTGGGCCTATTCAGAAAAGCCTAGATTTCTTAGCCTTCCCTACCCCAGCCTGTGTTGTGGCCATGACCAAGATGTTAATCTGGAAAGTCCCTTCTGTGGTCTAACTCCAGTCCTTCCTAAATCACTAGAAATGGAGCAACCACCATTAATCTAGTAGAGCTGCAAGGGGAAGGTGGCCAGAGAAAGGAACCCGTGAGGAAGGTTCTGAGGGAGGGCAACTCCGCCTCGGATTCTCCATCCTCCACTCCCCTGCCCTGCTGGATCCTTGGAGATGGGACAAAGTGGTCCACAGAAGAACTCTCTCTGCTTCAGCCTCAGGATTCACAGGTGCTGGGGGAAGGCAAACCCCTGAGTTTCAATCATGGCCCTTGTTATTGTCATCCATAGAGTGGGTGTTGTGGGGCGGCAAGATGGGAGAAGGTTTTGTCTCCACTGGCCTGAGTCCTTCAGGTTTCACCTAGGGTCCCTCTGGAGCCTTTTTCTCTCTCTCCACCCAAATCCCAGTTCCTCAGAAGCCCTCACAATGGTCCCTTCTCCAGCCCCTAGTCCAGCTCCCTTCCGTGGTGGGCTGAGAGGCACAGAATCCTTCCCACCATCTCCCCTCTGCTCCTGCTGGCACTGCTTGGAGATCCTGGCCAGGAGCCCTGGCTCTGCAGACTCCGGGTGGGGGGCTGTGCCCCGGCGCCCTCCCTCTGAGGTACCATTCCTCTCCTGCCTCATTTGCTGCTGCTGACCTTACTGAGTTAAATTAAAAAGCAATGTTCTGTGTGCGGCTCCAGCCCCATGGAGCTTGACTCTGGGAAGACGAAGACAATTACCAGCCCCTCCATCTCCCTCTCGTCTGGCTGCCTTATAATTTTTTCCCCTGCTGCCTGGTATGCAACATTTATGTTTTTAATAACACCAGAATGGTTTTGACCTTGGGAATTCATAGCAGAATGGGCACCGTGAGAGGCCCCAACGTGATTGGCGTGTGTCTCAGTCCTTTGTAGGGAGGAGGCTCTGGTTGGTGCCTCCCCAATTCTGTGGAAGGTGGGGGCTCCCTCCGAGGGTCTAGGGGGACATCTTGAAAGCCAGAGTGGACAAGGAGCACATGGGGAGAGGGGACGACAAGGGGAGGGTTTTGTCTTTTCAGATCTCCCCTGGAGGATGAAAGTTGGAATAAGGTGTTTGAGAGGTTGGGGAGTTTTTCTCTTTCTCCTTTTTCTCCTATTCCTTTTATAAGGAATGAGTCCTGGATAGGGAATGACATGGAGTGCACGTGTGGGGCTATGCAGAAGTGGTGGGGGTGTGGCACCCCTGTATGCACATACTCAGCCCGTGAGTTTGGAGTTTGCATGAGTTCCCACCCCTCCCCCACAGGCCCCATCCCTCCTCACTGCCTCTCACCTTCATCAGCTCTTTAGCCCCAAGGAGAGTGGAAGGAGTGCGGACCAGCCAGAAGGCAGGGCTCATACTTGAGGTAGTGCTCCAGCTGAGCGTAAAGGGTGGAGGACAGAGACCTCTCTGGACTCAAGCCTAGGTTCTCTTCCTTGTCTCTCCCACCCTTCCTTCTGTCCCTTTTCTGTGCTCACCTTCCTAGGTGACTCAGCTCTTGAGGCTGAAGGAGAGCCAGTGGCAAGAAAGATCTGGAAGAGGAGGAGGCTAGTCAGCAGAGGGGTGGGAGAGGCAAGGGGGCAGTGAAAGGCTTGGGACAGAGAATCACTGGGAGAGAGAGACCTGGACTGACCCTCTCCACCCGAACAGGGCTGTAGTAAGAAGGACCGAGGTTAGAACCAAGAGAGTGCTTCTCTGACTCAACTTTAAGGAGCCTCTGCAAATATAATGAAAATTGCAAATTATAAATGAAGAGAAGTTTCTCTTGTAGTTCAGGAAGTAGGGAGAGAGGGGTGGAGGAGTGTGTATGCCTTAAGGACGAGAGGGTGCATCTCTGTGCCCGTGGTTAACAGTCCCATGTACACCAGTTACATATGTAGGCAGGGGGGAGAGTGTAGCTTTGCCATTGATTTTGTGTGTGTGTGTGTGGGGGGGGCATGCCACTTGACTTTCAGGATCTTAGTTCCCCGACCAGGGATCAAACCTAGGCCCATGGAAGTGAAAGTACCAAGTCCCAACCACTGGACCTCCAGGGAATTTCTGACATTGATTTGTAAACTGGTTTTTCACTGGGATCTGTAAAGTATGCTTTTCTCTCAGAAATGGCAACCATCACAATGGGAAGACCCCTGGATTGAGAATTAAGAAAACCTGGGTTCTAGTCTGGCTTCAGTTGTCAGCTTCTGCTGCTGCTGCTGCTAAGTCGCTTCAGTCGTGTGCAACTCTGTGCGACCCCATAGACGGCAGCCCCCCAGGCTCCCCCGTCTCTGGGATTCTCCAGGCAAGAAGACTGGAGTGGGTTGCTAGTTCCTTCTCCAATGCATGAAAGTGAAAAGTGAAAGTAAAGTCGCTCACTCCTGTCCGACTCTTAGCGACCCCATGGACTGCAGCCTACCAGGCTCCTCCATCTATGGGAGTTTCCAGGCAAGAGTACTGGAGTGGGTTGCCATTGCCTTCTCCCAGTTGTCAGCTGAAACACTATGAAACAGCACTTCTTGAGTTTTGGAGTCATTCGCTGTACAATCGTGATGAAAAACCCACAGGCCCCTTCTGTACCAGTGGACCCAGTGCTGGGGGACCAGAAAATGGAAGGGGGCTGGGGTGGGTGGTGGTGATAGCCTTTCAGGGGCCTGAGAGCCAGAGAAGAGATGCTGGTGGAGAGGGATGCAAGAGGGATTTCCTGAATTTGGAAATTCATGGGTTCTTGCTGGAGCAAGACTCCCCGCAGCCTGTTCAGTCTCGCCCCATCTCAGCACCCAGGGCCGGGGTCTGCTGGCTCGGCAGGGAGCGCCGTTCTCTGCCGCCCTCCAGTGGCCGCCTAACTCTTTGCAGGTCGCCGCTGAGAAGGTTCCTCTTAAATCCGCAGAGCCGTGTCCCTCGCCCCCTGGTGGAAATTGACTATATTACAAGAAGCGATTTTGGGTTGTCCAAGAACTGCCCCCTACCTCCTCACCATCTCCCTAGTTTCTTGAGACCCTCAAGACTTCCTTAAAAAGCTGGGAAGGTCTTCCTGAGTTTTGACTCTCCGTACCATTGCCTGATATTTTAACTATTGCTTTTGGCGGTATGCGGTGGAGACAAGCGGCTGAGGGCAAGATTTTGATCAGAGAGGGCAATTTCTATTTCTCTTTGGGTTCCATCTACAACCCCAGTTTCCTAGGATCGTCAGGAGTTTTCAAAGAACGACATCGGAGTCTGGTGACATTCTTGGAGAAAATGGGTTTGGAGTGGACCAGGCATTATGCGTCTGGGCTTCGGCGAATTTGCACCTGAGCGCCGTAGTCAGCAGGGAGATGGATTGGCAGGAGCCAGGAGGCAGGAGACAGGGATGATGGAGGGAGATGGCATATTTGACAGATGCTGACAGGGCTCGTTATTTGCTAGCTCTGGAATCCCCTCCCACCCACCAGGCTGCCCTTGGCCCTCCCCTTCTAGTAGTCAATGCTTCTTAGTGACTGACTGTCTTTGGGGAGAAACCCGGTGGGCCAGGTTGCGCTGGGGTGGATGAGGGAGGGAGAGGAGGCGGGAGGAACACCATGTAGATGCTGGGGTGGAGTGGTTGGAATAACTGGGATTTGGAGCTGAGGTCCGACAATCACTGGGGTGCTTGCAAGGCTTTGCAGGGGGAATTGTCCAGAGGGCAGATATTGAGTTGCGGTGTAGTGGGGAGTGTGTGTTTGAGTGGGCAGAGAGAATGAGGAGGCATAATTAAAGGAACTGAGCTCCACAGATGTTGGTGCTAATTTTGGAAGAACTGGTGAAATATGTCAGTAATTTTATCGGGAGCTTCCTAGGCAGCAGGAAGGGTTATAGGTCCTATGAAGGGGTGGAGGTGAAAGAGGGGCACGCATTTGTGTCTCCTCCCGGGACTTGTTGCTTCGCGTGTGCCTGTCGGAAGGGCGCAAGGAGCTGCGAGGCCATTCTCGATTCGGGATGACGCTGAGGCCAAGTCCCCGGGCGCGTTTCTGTTCTTCGCGCCCCTGACACCTGCCCGCCTGGGACAAAGCACTTCCAGGCGACCTCTCTTCATTCCTTTTCTCTTAAAATACCCAATACACGTGGATACCTGAGTGAGAGAGGGGGCCCTCAGGTGCCCACCCAGAATTTCCAGTGGCTCCCAGTGGACGAACTGGGGCGAGGGAGGGGTGAGCCACAAGACCCTGAGCGGGCAGGGAGGGGCCGGCGTTTGGAGCCGCGGAGAAGGTTGGGCGGGGAGGAGAATGCTGCAGTCGGCGCCCGCGCTGCATCCTAATCAGCGCTGCGGAGGCTGCGCCGCGCGGCCGTCAATCTTCCACACAAAGGGCCGCCCGCCCCCGCCCCTTCGAAGCTCTCCGCGCCAGCCCACCCTGAGCGCCGGGCAGTGCCGAGGGGCCGAGAAGAGACAGACAGACACACAGACGCGGACAGAAAGGCCCTGTAAATTCAAGCCAAAATCGACGCTGTGGGACCAAAAGGGCCGAGTGGGTCAGGGCCCCCTGGAGATGAAAAGAGACCGGGATACAGAGGGGACAGAGGCAGGCGCTGGCCCAGAGGAAATGGAGAGACGGGGGAGAGACAGAGCCAGAAACGGGAGAGAGCATCCAGAGAGCAGAGAGGAAGACGGGAGACAGACACAACAGAGACACCCAGAGGGCAGAGCTAGCCCAGACAGACAGGGACTCAGAGACAGGAAGTGGACCCAGGCCCAGGGGAAAACCGCAAGTCGGGGACCCAGAGCCAAATACAGATCCATCTGCGACTGGAGGGAAGGAGATCACAGACAGAGAGGGAGAGAGAGTAATGAGAAAGGGAGAGAGAGAGAGGGAGAGAGAGAGAGAAGGGAAGAGAGGAGATGGAAGCCAGAGCGTGATGGAGACCCTGAGGCTAGACTCTGCTGGTGTCTCACCACCTGGGACTCGGTTAAGAGGAGAGTCTTTGTGTGTGTGTGTGTGTGTGTGTAGGAACACAGCAATTTAGAGCTCTATTCAAAATGCCAGAATCATCTGGTGCTGAACTAGACTTCTACACATCCTCCCTCTGCAAGTGACTGCTTGAGCAGTTGAGGTGCAGCACGGGGGAGAGAGCAGAGCAAAGATGGAAGTGAGAGAAAGACTGAGACAGAAAATGCAAGGGGGGAGCCTCAACAGAGATGCGGGAGAGAAACGGGTATTGAAAAAGGGAGTAGAGAAACTGTCAGAAGACAGAGCAAGACGGAGGTGGAGAAAGAAATATGACAGAGGCGTGCTTGGATGAAAGACAGGGAGAGGGAGGGAGCCTTTAACTGCAGGAGGGAGAGGGGCATGGAGAGACACTTGGCTGTTGAGAAGAAGGCAGACTAAGGGGACGGGGGGGGGGAGTAGCAGGCAGGCACCTGTCTCTCCAGAGAGCTTGGGCTGGGATAAAACAACCTTTCGGGTGAGTTGGGGTGGGGGAAGTCAACAAGTGGATTTTTAGGATGACCTTGTCTTTTTACTAAAACAAATAACCTTATTAATCCAATGCATGCCATCCTCTTCAAAGTAGCATCTTCAGCTGCTGCAGTTGCCTGCTCCTTCCTGACATTCCTCTTTGGGGAATCACTTTTAATGCATGCAGTACAGCTCTGAGCTATACGGCAAATATTTATTCTTTAGGGTGAATCTAATTTTTCAAAAGAGCCAAGTTTTCTTCAAGACTGGAGGATGAGGTAGTGCCCAGATGGGAAGCAGTATTTCCAGTTAAGAACAAGGTGAATGTGGGAAGGCCCAGTGGAGGGTCTGTCCTCTCAAGTGGCACTGAAAGGTCATTCTAAAGGAGATACTTGCAAGATGTGACAGAAGGAGACTTTCCTGATGGCTTCTTGAGGACTTGTTTCATTTTTCTGTTTGTTAAAACCAGGTAATAGGACTCCCAGGAACATCCAAGCCTGGCACTGAAGCCTGGCACATTCAGCTTGACATTGGCCTGAAATATTTGGTCAAGTGGCCCTGCCCTTGGGGAGCTTACAGTCTCTCTCCCTGACAATGTACTATCAAAGTAACCTGGTGACACTCACCACTGCACAGATCAACAACTGCAACTGACCAGGGAAGATTCAGAGTCAGTTAGTTCATCAGGGAAAGCTGCCTGGAGGAGGAAAATTATATGTGGGCTGTGGAAGGAGAAACTCAAGGAGGCATGGAATGGAGTAGGAAAAGAGGAAGAACACCTCTCTGATGGTTCTGGAGCAGGAGCAAACCATAATCCAGGCAGGGAATAGCTTTTCTGGCCTGAAATAAAAAGTTGGGTTGGGGAACCAGGGTGAAGGGGAATGGAGAGGAGCAGATTTTGAAGCTGGGGCTGGGTGGTCTGAATTTTCTATGAGAGGAAATGGGGCCCACTAAATGGTACACGGATGTGTC